TTCAGTATTAGCATAGTTAAGTTTTTAAATGCTTTCCAAGATTTGAATACGCTTATTTTTTGTTCATATTGAGAATCCCTTTTTGCAACAAATCACATGAATCGTTCTGATTTTTCTGCATCATATGAGCGGATAGATGGTTATCACCTAACTTTTAAGCATAATTTGCGAAGAGAAGTAGTTGATTAAATAGTTCAGTCATAGCATGACACTTGTCAATAAAATATTCTATCTGCAGATTTAGTAAGTTTGTTACCTGTCTTTCCACTTTCCATCGAGGTAGCACGGTATATGAGTTGTACCCTTTGTTATGTCAGTAACTAAATGAAAATTATTGAGATTTCGTAATTCAAAGCTGAAATCAAACTGAGTGTTAATATAAACTTAACAATACATACAGGCTTTCAAAATATCGCTACTTACTTCTCAAAACCAGTCCTACACAAAGATCTTAGTGTTTCGGGAACGTTTTCTAATCTCTTCTTGTAATACAACATTTCATGAGCTAAATTTATCGTTTGATTCAGCTGAAACAACCCATATGATATACCACCACCAAACATGTTGAACGTAATTACGAAATTCATTAATTCCTCTACCTGTTCGACAATAGATAAGCATATCGCACATCGAAAGCACACTGGTGTAAATGGTGAATAAGGATACGTGTAACTACCCTGTAATGCGTGAGATGCTTGCTGCAATTCTGTGCTTAATTTTTGAGCTCCATAAATGTGATGCTGAATATATTCGTCAGGATCCAAATAGCAACCTTCAGTAGTGTAAAGTCTCCTAATTCTATATGCTCTCATGAGATCTTGATGCCTCTGTATACGCATACTTGTTACATATGAAGTCTTGACAACTTGTGTCAAAGACACTGCAATCAAAAGTATTCCATACTTCCGCAACATTAGTCGATAATTCAATGAAATAGGAAACTTTAGTTCCCGAAACATGAGCTATTTCGAAAATATGTTCATCACATCGTGTAATTCAAGATTGAAAACTGAATAGGTTACATGCACTTCTTGATACTAACAATGAAATTAATGAAAAATCGATGTATCGAATCTGAAAAATCAACAACTGACGATTTTTGTGACGAACGAATTTTCCCCATTTTCTTCGTTCTCAATTTTCTTAGGAATATTATTTCACTCTCTATCCTTAATAAAATCTAATCTCAAAACAATTCTCAATGAGATATACTAATATAAAAACACGTCACACACAGTTTTTACTGTTTTTGACGTAAATAAATAAACAAAAATATGTTTATTTAGTTATTTCAGTAGTACGCCTTAATAGAAATCTTTATGTAGAGAGAAGTCATGAGAAATGAGAATTAATTAAAATAAATAATTAATATTTTAATATTCAAGCATCTTTCAGTCAAATTGAAAAATAATATACATTACTTTTTTTCAGTACAGCTATTTGTTCTCTTCAAACATTTGGATGTAATTTTTTGGTCGTTAAAGAGATAGGTAGCTGATTCATATGCAGAATGCCAAAGCAATAGTTTCCAACAGTTTTCTTCAATTTGACGAAAAAATAAGAATATTGTTGAAACACTTCAAATCCATTTTCGTCTCTCTTGTAAATGCATTTACAACTTCAGATGAAAGAGAATATTGTATTAGCCTAAAGATCATTATATATGGAGAAATATTTCAAAGAAAGGGGGTGTTTTTTCTTACATTTTTCAATGCTCTTTTGCGACCTATTGTTATCCTCTCAACACTCCCAAAGCCTAGAAGATTGTAAACTCTTAACTCTTACAGGCCAATATACATTCTACCAGATCGAATGTGTTTAAAAAAGGTTATCAAGAAATAGAATATCCAATACTGACAGGACAAACTTGTATCCACTTATAAATTTGGTTTTACGAAATCAAATTCCGAACTCCCGTTGTTTCCAGGCCTCAAAAGTAGTATCAAGACGCATTGTTTTAGGCTCCACCCTGATATGCTTCTGATATTCCCACACTACTAGCCTTAAACTTCAATGGTTATACTACCGTACTTGTTTCGTACGGTTCATGGGATTACATCGAAACTACTGGAAGCTCTACGGTAGCACATAAAATTACTACGATGGTTTTTCTCAATTAGAATTTTTCGAAAACACAATAATTGAATGGATGAGTGGAAAAACAGAACCGGTACTAGTCCAGAAAATGTATTCTGAGATAAGTCATGTTATAACTTTTGATTAGATACGACAAAAAATGTTGAGGCAATATTCTTATTTCAAAAACGTTGTACCATACCATACGAATATGTTCTGAGGAATAATTGCGATAAAATTCATTATTGATGTTTCATAATTTAAACAAAAACTGTGAACTTGTACTGTTTTCATCTAAACGAAGATTATCGACCAAATTTCTTGCAAAATAACAATGTACCACAAAATACCACATTTTATTGTATAAGAGTGCACATAAGTACTGTAACTTGAGGTCGTCCAAATTTCAAGTTGTGACTTAAAAGAGAGCTGATATATTATAAAATATTCCTTTCGTAGATATTTTTTTTTGATCAGGCTGGTTTTAAATTTCAATTCACTCGACATAAACGTCACAAATTCTGATGAGTAGAGTGGAATTTTAGTTTGAAAGGATTCTGATTGTTCTTTTATCTTAACAAAATTTTCGTACTTGATAGCATGAGGTCTGTTATTATGCTTTTTTCTTCCATCTTCTGGAAACAGGCCTGGCCAAAGAATTCCTGTCAGTTGTTGAACCTGAATATGTGATATTCCGTTTAAGCTCGTGAATGCTTGTTTGCAAGCTTGTCTGTGAACGCATTATTTCAACGCAAAATAACGAAAATAACGAATTCGTTGTAGGCACATTCTCGTTCAATAACAAAACAAGTAAACATCAGCTCCCTTCCACTGGTAAATAACAAATATCAACCATCCGCTGCCAGCAACCCGAGTCGCCAGACAACTGAAATTTTGTGTTGAAGAGCAGTGCACCTCCAGGATAGAGGCGCGTTGATCAATCGCTACAGTCAGAAGTTTAAGTGTCTATATGATTGTCACAAACTAGCAAGGGGCGGGAAAGTCGCTGTTCCCGAGGTATCTGAGTAGGGTTTTTCGTTTTTCAATACACCAGTAAATTTTTAGCATTTCATGAACAATTATACTAACTTTCAGCAATAAATTTGTAACTCTGTCAAACTGCTATATTAAAAAGTTGATCTCAGGCACAATTTGTGGATCATTTCCGTCCGTTCTAGATCATAATTCGAATTTGTTTATAAAATTGTAAATTGTTGCAAAATTGTAAATTCGAGTTTTCAGCTCTGGAACATCGGGAGACTTCCACCCGTTTGTCTGCAAAAGTTGCAAATTGTTTATAAATTTGCAAATGTGGCGATTTTTGTCTCCTCTGAATCCTCTTTGAATGCAATATAAAAAGCGGCAATCCGATCAGTGGTATCAACTTCCGTTCTCGAGATATTTAATTGTTTATAAGAACTTAGCATCTCATTGTCACCCCCCAGTTTTTCCATTCTCTCTGCGCACAAATATACGATATTTGTATTCGAAAATCAATTATTTTATATTCCTTAAAAGTAATTAGTAATCATTTTAATGTGCTGGGTTAAGACAGAAAGAAGTAACGGATTCGGCAAAGGTTGGATTTTTTTTTTAAAAAATCGATACATCGTACCAAACTAATTCCCCGATCCCCAAGATAAATAACACAGAAAGTGTGTGCTTTTGACGCGCCACTAGTTACTTCAGTCTGGTAATGACTTTAAGAATCAGGTATAAATTTTCTGCCATTGCGATTCTGGATTTCCGGCCGACTCTATTTCTGACCGCCTGTCTTTATCGCAATTTTCATCTATGACGTAGCTTCAGCCTTGAAGGTGGGGTCCGAAATATAACGCCTGGAACTAGCTGCACAAGCCTACAGAACTGAGCTTCTGATTTTGCTCTGATCGAAATTTGTCTGGACGGTTGGGAAGATAGAATTTCACCCGCCACTTTTCGAGGGGGGAACTTTACGTACTTACCAGTGACGCCTCCTCACTCTGGACTTAGGGCGTTGGCTGTGAAGGAAAGTGTTAACACCCACACTACTCTTTTCGCTTACATATTTAGAGTAAAATTGAAATATTTAAACAAAATCCTGATTTAGTTTAAATTATAATGTTGGAAGAATGAGGGAAAGATATTTGCAAAATAACAACAATGAGGATGTTGTATTTTCTATTGGAATGATTGGAATAATACATTTTAAAGAAAAATTTAAAAAGACGTACTCGATGCTTTTCCCATTCGCGCAAGTTTGCTTTAAATATAGGCAATTTTAAATAACTATTTTCTCAAGAACGTTCTTCAAATTTTTTCTTTGCATTTTTTTTCTTCGATAGAATTAAGTGTACGTAATTATAAAATGGCGCAGATCCCGTTTCCGGTAAATTCTGTTTTTTTGAAAATTGCAAAAAAATTAACATTTAAAAAAAATATATGAAGAGTTCTTTCCCCTAATGGAATATATTCTTTAAACAATAGGTCTAACAATAGGCCATACACATTTTTTAAAACT